ATCCCCGCTTTTCCAGCGAAAGTTCGAGATGCCCCGGAGTCCACTAATCCCTGTATCTTTTCCCCGTGGATACTTATATCCACATGGAAGGCTAATGTTTTGCCCTCTTTCATCGCTTGTCTGAGGGCCTCCCAACTTGGGATTTCCTCCTGCGAGATACTTTTCCAAGGGTCCGTCAGGTAGGAACTGAGGCTTTCGCCTTTTACCTCGTCCCTTGGCTCCTTGACTGGAGTTGCCGTTGGCGTTGTCGGCCTTGGCACTCGCTCCTCAGTCTCTGGGAGTTTTTCCTCCTCTACGACTGTTATTTCCGAGGTCTCCGGCAGCGTAATCTGAGTGTCTACGCGGCCGACTTCACGTTTCCCGGATTGCATCTAGGGCACTGGGGAAAGTGGACATTCTTTCTGCCACATACGTAGCAGAAAACCGTCCTGGCTTCTGTGCATAGGCGCCAGGAGTGTCCTCTCTGGTCGCAATTATGGCACTTTAATCCAGCTGGGTTTGGTCGACTGGCGCCGGGTCTGGCATAGCCAGTACCTCCACCCCTCCCTGAAGAGGCACCGCGACTTTTCAAGGCGTGTGCCACTTCTAACTCTTCGAAGAAGAAATTCGCCTCTTCGTCTCCCTCGAACGTTTCTGGGTCGGTTTCTTGGTGAGTCACCGCCCTGATGGCCGTTCTGTTCGGATTTCTCTGTGTTTTATTACTTCGGTACGCGAAGCTGGGACAGAGAGATTCCTCTGGCTACCTAGGGGGCTGCCATTTCTTGGCGCTTGCGTACAGGGTTTCGTGTCGCATCGCGTGTCTTTCCAGGGCTTTTGTCGTTGTATTGGCACCGAGATTGAATCCTATTCGGAACTTGGGTAACGTATTATGGTACATATACATTAACCTCTGTTGTTCCGGCCATGGTGGATCCGTTCGGGCGAAGAGTCCCTTTAGATTAGCCACAAATTGGGCTACGGGCTCGTCTTCGCCTTGGCGACGGCTTGCAATCTCTTCGTGGAGGGCTACCTGGTAGTCCAACTCCCCGAAGTTTTCTCTGAAGGCGTAACATGCGTCTTCCCACGAGTATACTTCCACCTGGCTGTACCACGTGAGTGCGTGTCCGCCCAAGCAACCTCTCAATACCCCTAATAAATCCGTTTCCCGGATTCTGAGGGTTTTCATGGCATCGTCGACTCGGGATATGAAATCTTCCACATCCTCGCTCGGTCCTCCTGAGAACTGAACCCCCCATTTTTTCAAGGCCTCCAGAGCATTTTGGGTGTTCAAGTAGTTCTCCCTTCGTGGGCGATATTCGCACTCACTTGCTTCATCCGACGAATATCTCTGCCTCCTCGGAGGTGCAGGGTTTCGTTCGTTGAAGGCTGGTCTTCCCCTGGCGGGAATGTGCCGATGCCTTTCCCTTTCTTGCTCGTTTACGAGTCCGTCATCGTTATTTCACGTTGGGCCTATCCGCCCGCGGAGTTCTCTATCGAGGCGTTGCACTTGAGCCAATAATTCGGCTGCTGTTGGTGTCGCCTTCGTGATTTTTACCCCGGGAATATCTTCCGTGGGTGTCACGGCGCCGCTAGCATTCCTGCTGCTACGACCGCTTCCATTTTTGCTCCCTGGCGGTCTCCCTCGTGGTCGAGGGGCGGAATTTTCATCCCGGATCGCGAGGGTGCGAGCCTGTTCTACGAGTACTCGTGTCTGCTCCAGGAGGGTTTTCAGCGCTGTGGCACTGGCATCCTCCTTCTTCAAAGTTTTTGCTGGAAGTTTCTTTCCTTGCGCAACTTTCTTTTTGGCTGACAGTTGTTTTTGGCTGTCAAGCCCCTCCTCCTCGGATTTCTGCTCGCATTCGGAGGAGTCCTCCTCGGTTTCACTGCTTCCTCGTCGCTCGTCGTGACGATCGTTACCCCGAGAGTTGCCCGAACTTCCGGCTTCCTCTAGAGGATATCTCCTCGGGTTGGTACCCTCTGGGTCTACCATCTCCGTTTCTTCTCCCTTAGGCGATTTCTCCACCTTTGATGGATCAACTTTTGGTGCCATTTTTGGTCCCCAATGCTTTTCGCGTTTCGCAGACGTATTACTTCACGCGTCTCTCGACAAAAAAAAGAATAACTTCTGCCCGTTTGCGGCTCTTTTATACCGTTTTGCGGGTGGAATTTATCCCCTCTGCTTCTTTTTGCCAGTAGCGCCACCTTAGCTACGTTTCTGCTCGATTAGGGGTGATTTTTCCTTTTCGTTGGCGATCGGATAAGGTTTTTATTATTTTTTCCTATCCGTGCGCCTTCGGATCTTTGAATTGTGTCCTTTCGGCGACCTCTCTCGAATTCATTTTACTTGAATTCGTTCAATTCAATTTTTAAGTTCCAATTTGAACCTGGTGGTTCCATCTCTCGGTATCTTCCGTGGGAAGCGTTACCATATGATGGCTTTTCCACCTGTCGGTAATCATCTTCGGCCGATAATTCAGGTTTATTTATTATCGACCGCGATCTGGGCCACTTTTCAGTCGGTAATCGAGTTTTCCTCCTTACCGACTGTCAGGTGTGTCCGGTATCTTACCGACGGTTGGCCGAGTGCGGTACCGACGGTAGGTTTTACTTATGGGGAGACGCTAGATGGCGCCTGCTACCCGCAATCGTGCTTAACCACCTGTTGTGGTTTCAGCACGTGCTAAAATATTTAATTCTTTTATATTTTTTTTTTTGTTTGTTCGCTTTCGGAGTTGTCCAGACTCCTAC